ATCACCTGACTCTATCTCCCACTACTAGCAATGCGGCTATGGCCGCCTTCCTTCCCCAACGCAGCGCTGCCCAGCAGGGCTAAATTGCAGATAGAGCACAAGCACTTCAGCCACAATTCCACACTTCTCACGAACAACACTGTAACTGGACAGCCGCTGCTAAGGCAGCCGCGAAGCAGATGCCTCATCTACTGGGTCTGCCAGCACCATATCTGCGCTGTGGGGTTAGCCGCTGCCATATCTTCTTCTTCCTGGCAGCTGTTCTTCTTATTCTTCAAGCTGGAGGTTCCTTCTTTATTCTGAAGCTGGCGCTGCATATTCTGGGAGGTCCCTGGCACAGCACCAGAGCATCTGACTGTAGGTTGTCTGGGTTGAGCTGGTGCTGCTGAGACCATAGGAGGGAGGTGCTGGTGGTCGGCCAGGATTCCGGCTGGGCGCTGTGTGTTGGGCCGTGCGCCATAGCCGACTGCGTGGAGGAGGATGCTGGAGGGAGGAGAAAGGATCCAGAGGCTCGTTGAAGATTGATTCCGAGTTTATTCAAGGTGGTTTATTATCCGTTGAGATTCTTGGGTTCTTTGCGGTACTGATTGAGCTGGAGAGAGGCAAGGGGTTGAAGGGACTACGAATTGATAGTTTTATATTCTTCTGGATCGTTGAGCTTCATCCACTGTGCATATTTCAATCTGTTTTGGTGTGACTTCCCTTTGTCATCTTGGCATGTGTATGGCAACATGTTGAGGCTCTGCTGGATTGCGTTTCAATCAGTCACATAACAATTACACCCACATTCCGGCGATTTCATCTACAGGTGGGTGATGCGCCAAAGGCGCGAAGGAACAGAATGACAACAGAGAGAAAAACTTGTGAGTTGCTCACCGTGTGCGTATAGAAGTCCAATAAATTGCTCAGCTTGTAGGCAAGCACGATCCCAGGCTGGGAGGTCAGCACCTGATCCACACGCACTTTGAATGGCCGACAGACGCCCTCGAAAATCCGGTCAAGCACAGAGGACATGTCTGTAATTTCCATTTGGCTTGGATCTGAACTCAGTCCCTCCTTTGAAAACCTCCTAGATGCACTCTTCTCCACCGACGTGTCATGGCTGAACAGTGCGGCGGCCAGCTCGCGCTCTGACGCCAGTGCCTGTTTGCAAACAGCGAATGAGAACGGGCAAGCACACAATCGAACTCAGCGTCAGCGTTTCTGTCCCATTTATTCGATTAGAAACTTAAATACTACAAACAGACGGACAAACCACACAGCGCCGCTATCGAGACGAGTCGTAGCAGGTCAACACCAAAGAGGCTCCCCCTCTCCTCGAGGGCAATACGAATAGTAGTAGTAGTAGTAGAAACAGTAGTAGTAGGAGGAGGAGGATGAAGAGGGGAGGGAGGAGAAAGGAGAAGGGAGGACGGTGATGATACTATTTGATCTTTCACCAAGAGAGCGCATGCTTCACCGACTTGCTAACCAGCATCCTTGGCCACGTTAGCGTTGATTTATCTGAGGGCTGCGAAGAGTCTGAACTCTCACCTGGTGCAGCCATCCCAACATGTCACCGACATAACGGAGTGGATCGTGTGCATGTACTTCGATTGGACGCGGCATTCCCCCTGGTCCGCCACGTGTCAATGCGCCAATGAATCGGCGAAACATTGCATTGTGTCTTGTATTGGCCACCTTCCAGACCAGCAAACCACAGACACACCCACACCGCCCCGCATCGCCTCCCCTTCCAGACGCACCCACACCGCACCCCCCCCCCCCCCCTCCCCCCCAACACACACACACACACACACACACACACACACAAGCACAGAGGTGACAATGTAGTCAGTTTTACCACGCAAGTGCAAACAAACACAAAACAGAAAAAGGGAAAAAAAGTCCATACCCCTTTTACAACATGAGATTGTGGGATGAACCCAACCCATCTCCAGCTCCGGGTAGACGAATTCCGCGTACAGCAGTACAGCCACCTCCTCCCTCCTCGATCGTGTTAAGTTTGTGCCAAGCTGGCATGAGCCTGGTCAGTTTCTGAAGCAGATGTATTCTTCCTAGCCGGTACAGAAGGTGCAAAACCCTCACTCCACACCCAATGGACTTTGGTTGGTAAGGTTCTACTTCCATCAGATGTGCATAGAGGGAGCAAAACTGCATAGAAGTAAACTCTAACAATGCAGAGAGAGGGGATGACCTTGGATCTTATACACATCTAGATGTGTATAAGAGACAGCACACACACACACACACACACACACACACACACACACACACACACACACACAGATTTCCGTTCGCCCAATCTAATATTTGACTGGGAAACCACAG